AGAAGAGGTTTTGTGGATATTATAGCAATTTCGTAGTTGAATTCATGAGTCAATTGAAGTTATACCACCATGAAAATCCTGAAAGCAGTAGACGGCCATTTCTTCTTATTGTAGGACTCCTCAGCAAGGCGTATTCACGATCCCACCTCGCGAGATTCGAACACAGGACCTATCATTTTACCATGGTCTAGCTTCAATTGACATTACTATACTATCCACAAAACCCCTTCTGCTATTTCTTTTTTATTCATACTAATAAAGAATTGTATTATATTGTTGTATTTTCATCTCTCTTTTTCTTAATGTTATTATTTGTTTATATCACTTAAAGGCGGCGTTCTATACTGGGACGAAACGACCATCCAGTGCTTACAGATTTTCAATGATGATCTAGCATAGATAGACTTATGAAAATACAATTTTTTGTATTTTCATCTCCTTCCTTTTTAATGTTACTAATTGTTCAAATCAATTAAAGAATTAACATACACATATCTTGAGAAATATTGTAAATGGTATTTTGTTAAGAAAAGAAATATATATACAATTTTATTTGTACAATTAACGAAATAAAAATCACATTCAAATTGAAGTATTTTAAATGAATTAACTTCAAAGCAATAAAAGAGAAGAAAAAAACCCATCTTTCAACTATTCATTTAAGTGTTTAAGTCTGTCTGTATAGAAAGTGTAGAATGAAATGAATTCAGTTAGAATGGAAATTATATATATATTTCTTTAACGGTTTGAGTAGATTATAAAAATTACCATTCTAGTTTAAAAGTGTCCTTTTCTTTTTGTTGTAAAAAGAAAAAAGACGGATCTAACAATGTTTACCAGTTAAATTCATTTTTCACTACAGAACGAGTGTCTGGATGAAGTTAGCTCTCTCTTTTGTTTTGTCTTTTGTTTTAGAATTAAATCTTATCATTTATTATTATGTAATTTAAATATAAATTGAAATAGAGATAGATTTAAATCTGAATTATCTAATAACTCTCCACAAAACCCATTCTGATAATGATAGGATAATATGAATATCGACCAAATCTTGTATACTGAAGCGAAATAAATTTCACTTTTTTTTGTTTTTTAGAATTTTACAAATAAAGAATTTTTCAGTGAGTAGTTGTTTCTATATTAACTGTTTATTCATTTTCTAATTATAAATTCATTATAAAGCATATCTATACCTTATTTGCAATTACAAATTGTAAAACTGTCTTACAATAATGCTTATTCATTTGTTATCCTATAATCTTAATTGAATATTTTATGCCTAAAATAAAACATGAGACAACAATGCTAAAATTTTGAACAAGAAAGTATACAAATGAAGATTCAACGTTAAATAGTTTTTTGTTCATTATATATGAATAAATTAATAGTTGAGTTCATGAGTTAATTGAAACTGAACCACCATGGAAAACCTGGAAGCAATGGATGGCCCATTCGTCCCATTGTAAGACTCCTCAGCAGTGTGCATTCACGATCCCGTCGGGCGAGATTCAAACACAGAATATATCGGTCTCGCGGGCGAATGCTTAACTACTAGACCACTGAACCGACTGGCAAACAACGGTGTTAATATCAAACTCCAAACAATCCACGAACTTGAACCACCCTTTACCATTAAACTTGTCAATCTAAATCTGGACTGCGGGATCGTGGATGGACACTGCTGGTGGGTCCGACAATAAGACGAAACGACCGTCTGGCGCTTGCAGGTTTTCGGTGGCGTTCTAACATATATGAATAACACTATCTATATAAAAATTGTGTTAAATTTTCCTGTTGAAATTTTTACTTGCAAAGTAAACTAGTTATAATTATTGTAAGTATAGAGTTGTGAAGGTTATTGAGTTTTGATTGAGATCTCGAGTCGATCAACGTTGGTCCACCATTGAAAACCTGGAAGCACTGACCGTCCGTTTCGTTCTAATTGTTTAATGGTTGAGCACTAGCATGAGAGACCGAAGACCATGGGTCCGAACCGAGACTGCAGGGTCGTGGATGTACACTACAGAATATCCCCATACTACAGCAAAATAACCAGCCAGTGCTCCCAGGTTTTCAGTGGTGGTCTAACATTGACAGATGCAATTATATTTATTTTGGGGTAAAAGGTAACTAACTCCATTAATATAGATGTCTCTATGAAGTAAATATTTTTACAACATAATATGGCGTTAAAGTAATGATTTAATCGTTATAATAATCTACCAACTAATCTTTTGCTGTATTTAAAAAAATAATGAGCGAGAAATAATTTTTTGTCAGGCACTATTTTTAGGCTGAATAGTCTCTCAAATTAGATAAACTGACGTCACTGTAGACTTTATTTAAGCTTAGTTGGCTGGTGATACCTATGAGGGCAGTTACTGCTGTTTCTTAAGTGACACCAGTTACTATACAGCGACAAAATCATACAGAAGAATAGTTGAATCCTGCAAAGTTATTAGGTAATATCTATGAGTGCTGTATGTGTTTGGATTTTTGATGCAGAAACAGTTCCAACCTAATTCTAAAGGAGCTGTTTAAAAGCATATGAAATGTAAAAATAGAATACAATTGTATATCTTCTGCATTATTAATTTCAGATGGCAAAAGGTTGAAAAACTGTTGTTACTCATTTATATTATTAAATAACCGTTTTAGGGAACTCCTTTTTATGGAAACTTTCCTCATAGTTGATTCATGGTTGGAATTATTGTCAAGTTAAATACTTGGAAGAAATATCTCTAATCTATTGATATTGATGATGAAACCTACTAGAAAACTACATAGTATATCAAGTTGTTCACACATAAACACAGTTATTTCTATTCTATGGGTAAATATTAATGTTCAAGTTATTATATATCAAATAGCTTAGTACTAGGTAAATGAAGAAAAACAATAAAACACAAAAAAGTATGTTAACTTCGTTTTCCAAGAAGTCTTTTATCAAACAAAATGAGAACTATCAATGGAGCAATTTTCAGATGTCTCTTTTGGACATGGAACACCAGGTAAACATCACTGAAACTTTTGAAGTTTTTTGAAACTATTGCATAAAATCAAGAGAAACCTAATTTGTGAGTTCTAAAAGAAAGTTGGTAATCAGTATTTATCTTGATAACATACATTTCATTTTATCACATTATAATTCTTTAGATTTTTTTGCTCGCGTCAAACTACTTTATCACGTCTTTTTTCGACGTTATTTTATCTCACCAATTTTTTGCATTTTTAACTAACTGAAATTTTATCAGAAGAGGTTTGTGGAGATTTTAGAAATTTCACAGATTGAAATAATGAGTCAATTAGAGCTAGACCACCATGGAAAACCTGGAAGCACTGGACGGCCGTTTCGTCCTAGTAACACCATTTGATGCCCGCTCAGTGGTCTAGTTGGTTAAGCGCCTGGCGCGAGACTGATAGGTCCTTGGTTCGAATCTCGCGGGGTGCGGGATCGTGGATGCTCACTGATAAGGAGTCCCATACTAGGACGAAACAGCCTTCCAGTGCTTCCGGGTTTTCCATGGTGGTCTAGCTTCAATTGACTCATTATTTCAATCTGTGAAATTTCTAAAATCTCCACAAACCTCTTCTGATAATAACCATCTGCTCATTAGTGACTGACTTCAAGATATACTCCTGGAGTTCTAGTGAAAAGCCATTACCAGTGGAGTTCAACCAGGTCTGTTGTGAGATATCAGCTCACTGAAGACAATGGTGTACGGTGGTGCAACTTCGTGGATTGGTTAAAGTTTGACATTAACACCATTGGATGCCGGCTCAGTGGTCTAACTGAAATTTGCTTACTTTGATTTAGATTCCTATCTTATCACTTATATGGTCTTTAACGCTACACAAGTAGCATTTTATTCCTTTCGTATTATTAAATATTCCAGAACTTTCTTTTATTCTTAAAATATATACGAAGTATTTACATTCAGTTTTTTAATGTTTATCTTATTTTTACTATTCCATGTTAAATAATGGTTACATTAAATTCTAAACAAATTTATTTCTTCAGGTATCTTTAACATAGTTTTGTGTATTTTAGATTTGAAATACAACCAAATGTAAGCTAATAATGAGGAATTATTAGAATGGGGGTTAGTGGAGATTTTAGTAATTAGAAGTCGAATTCATGAGTCGAGCTGGCTTAGTGATCTGGAGGCTGAGCGTTTGCGTGCAACACCGAAGGTCCTGTGTTCGAGTCTCGCCTGTGAGCTTGTGAATGCGTACTGATGAAGAGTCTCATACTAGGACTGATATGATGGAAAGAAAAGTCAATTTTTGATTGATTTATTGATTATGAGTTTTGTTCAACATTAATTCCGTTTTGATTCAATGTAATGATTACTTAATGTAGTAGTTTTCTTTTCTGGTATGATATTTTATTCCGTCTAATATACGATATTCTTGTATTCAATTGATATCAACTATGCTTGCTATGTGATTTGTAATAATTTTAAGTAATTTTTATATATATGATTTCATCCTAATTATTGATCAAAGTGTGTATACAATCAATATATAAACGAGTGTATTCTTGACTACCGTCATCGTCGTCGTGTTCTGGGGTTAATAAATCTTCCCTTATACCAGTCTTGTATCCTTACATTCGCGTCGTGGGAATCGCGGAGGTCCCACGTTCTGAGTATAAGTGATAAGCGTTTCCGAAACAACAATCAACAACGACCAGATATAAAAAGTAGTGTTCAACTGACAAGTTATAACAAGGACGAAACGGAGGTCCATTACTTCCAGGTTTTCATTGGTGGTCTAGCTTAAGTCGACTCATGAATGTGAATTTACAAAGTAAAAAAATTCATGTTACGCTTAACTAATTGTTTCTGTTCTCCGTAAGATAAATAAAGAGAACTGTGTATGAAATTCATTCAACCGTCTAAATTATTTATTAGTTGAAGTTATTTTTTTATTATTTCACTTAAATTACTTATGAATCATTGAAAAAAATTCACAGGTTACATTGTTTATCAACTCACAATCTGATGTCTGTAGACAAATTCGTTCACTGTATTGACTTTCACCAGCTTGATTGTGTGCTTTAACGCGTGCACGATAGACGGAACGAAAGTGTAAACCTTCGACAGTGCACATTGTTTCAACACCTCGATAAACTTTCTAAATATGAATAAAAGTAATTTTAAAAAATATGTAAATTATGAAAATCTCGTTAAAGAATTTGTAGTAATTATGCGTATGATTTCATAATCACACTATTTAACGGTTCGTTAATTCGGAAATAATTACGAAAATCGGTTTACTTGAATTTCAATTAATGATTAGTGAGTTATACAACTAAATTCAATGACTAAACAATAATTTCAGGAATTTAACATTTCTAATATATCAGTATGAAACAAAGTTAGAAATCATTGGGAACGTTTTATAGTTTGCTCATTTAGGTGGTTACAAATTATAAAACATTTAACTAATGTCATCTACATAATCGTTACTCACATTTCACAGGCTAAATATATCCTTAAAATTCAAAACAGTTAAACTCCTGAAAATAAAGTCGAATAGTTGTTTAGAATATTATGTTTTGATTAGATGTTTGTAAAGCAAGTGAAAACTATTTCAAAGATATAAGTTTTGAATAGTTTGCTTGAAATGCTTATCATATAACTTTTTACTTTTAATCGCTTATCAGTAAATTCGGTTGAAGATTATATATTCCTTGCTGTTCGAGTAATTCTGTGGAACACCATATACATATTATCTAAATAATTCATTGATAACTGTCAAGTCTGAAGAAATGCCATTTAGACAACGGATATTTAAAACAAACGAATTGTTAAAAATAAACATAATTTTAGTAAGAAACGTTGCGAAACACTGAAACACATAATTTACCTCAGTTGCACATCTATCTTGTAATTCTCATTTGAGTATTAGCTAAGAAAAATATAATTTATGACAATTATCTTGTGGAATACTTCAAATTACAATGTTCTTTCTAGTTATGTTTATCAAGTTCTAAGAGCCGGTCAGTTTACATATTTCTGATATCAATTGAAAGTAATCTAATAACTTATTACAATGATCTGTTACTAAAAGATTGTTGAAAACAAAGTGATAACATTATAATGAGAATAGAAATGAATTATTCGATATTACTTTCTAAATCCTTCTCAATATTTTTTATTGTAGTGGTAAAAATTATCAAGAAATTCGATTGTTATTGAACACATAGTGAATATCAACGGTTGAGATCATGAGTCAATTGAAGTTAGACCATCATGGAAAACATGGAAGAAATGGACGGCCCTTTCGTTCTATTGTGGGACTCCTCAGCAGTGCGCATTCACGATCCTGCCTCTCGAGATTCGAACACAGGACATAAAAGTCTCATGCACGAATGCTTAACTTCCAGATCACTGAGACGACCGGTATCTAACAGTCTCAATGTCTAACTCCAACTAATCCACAAAACTGAGCGACACATCCATTATTTTCTTCAGTGAGTTACTCTTTTACAGCAGACCCAGTTGAACTCCACTGTTCACTGTTTCTCACTAGAACTTCATGAAATACCTCTTGAAGCCAGTCACTAGTGAACATATATCAATTCATATCAGAAGGGGTTTTTACATATATTATAGTAGGTCCTGTGTTCGAATCTCACGAGACGAGATCGTGGATGCGCACTGATGAAGAGTCCCACATTAAGACAAAACCGCCGTCTAGTGCTCCCAGGTTTTCCATGGTGGTCAAGCCTCAATCGACTCATGATCTCAACCATTCAAATTACTATAATTTCCACAACAGCCCTTCTGACATAGTAAATGATCAAGTTTTTTTTAAAAACGTGGGATTAGAATTATTCACATAAATGAGAGAAAAATTTTTTTCTGTGTTTACTACTAAATAGCTAACTTTGCCCATGGGCGTGAAATACATAATACATCTATGAATATGTGTACATATTTTTAAAGATACATGTTCATATACAAAAAAAAAGAAATATTAACATAGATTCAAGATATCAACAAATTTACAAAATTGGATTTTTATCCCTACGATAATAACTATTGTTATGATAGTTTTTAAAAACATTATTCGAACCTTACTTCCCCCTCATGTTCATATTATTAGATTGAGTTTTATGATAAATATGCCTGTTTTTTTAGAATTCTTTTATATTCCTCTTATGATTATTTAACTTAATTCCTAAGTTAGGAGATAAGTATATCTGAAGATAAAAAGATATTCAAATCACGTTGTTTAATTATTCTTATGAAAATCTAACAAATACATGGTATTTCCATTTGTATCGGTTTTTGTTGATGTTATGAAGTGCAGTTGATCAGTACCTTTAAGCATATGAATAATCTGTGCAGACTAACTCGATGTTAAAATTAAGTTGCAAGCATTTTAATCAGATTTGGATTATGGAAAGCAGTGAAGTCTATATTCCCTTATATTTGGGACTCATTAGCTGGATATACCTGCACTGCAGTGTTGATGTTCGCACCAGGTTTTAGACGAAGTATCTTCTGCTTCAAACATCTGACACGTTATCCATTTAGCTACTGAGTCCAAAAAGCCACCGGTTTGTACAATGGGGTAAATTTTAACCCATCGGTTATAGTTATTTAAATTTTTCTATTGATTTTATGGATAGCTGTTAACCGAAATGACATCGTTACTTTATAATGAGGTGGCAAACCTAGATTTTTATTAGAATGCTTATAAATACAGCAAATGAAAAAATAATGCAATTTTTTGGAACTAAGTGACCAGCGTACACAAATTTATCTATAAAGTAACTAGGCAAGTTCGTCTGTTTTTCTGAACATCACATTTCTTGGTTGAGCAAAAAAAACGGGAAAAAGGTTTTAATCGACAGAAGACAAAATTAAAATGATGATAACTTTTGAAGTTATTTACCACTGGTTAAGTAATAGTGAACCTAGACGCAGGGTATTAGGGAATGATGGTAAATCAGTTGATGAGGTTGTGAATCTTCATCGACTAAAATGGTTGGGCCACGTGTTAGATATGCCTGTATAACAACTACCACGACGTGCAATGCTGACAAGTGTTGGAGACGGTTGGAATAAAGTTAGGGGTGGCCAAACCAAACTGTGGCACCAGTCCTTGAAGTCACTAAATTCTAGTCTGAGCCATGCTGGTATATGCAAACTACTTGTTTGGGGTTCGCGTGACTATCGTAACCAATGGCTGGAGACTCTTGGTGACATGGCTCAGAATCGATCACAATGGCGTCGATGTATACACTATCTGTCTTACTTTAAACTAACAGATTAAGATCGCTTCATATTTTTTCTACGAACTTATTCTTTCTTCCTGTACTATATCCTTATACGCAGTCTTTCTTTTATACATTACGTCCATTGAAGTGACTACTAAAAATTTGTTATTCATCTTGATGTGCTAATGAGGTTCAGCAACTTGGACCGATGCATGTATGTGCCTGGTCCTACGTTATAGTTGACTGACTAACTGAGATATCACTCAACTTAACCCATTCTTCAAGATTTTATTTTTGCCATACAACATAGGCCACAGGAATCCATAATCATAAGCTTGATCATTAGGTCTACAATAATCAATAAGATTTAATAGTTGAATTCATGGGTCATTTGAAGCTAGACCACCACTGAAAACCTCGAAGCACCTGAATGCGCACTGCTGGGGAGTTTCGCACTAGGCTGAAACGGCCGTCTAAAAACCAGTACTTCCAGGTTTTACATGATGGCCTAGTTACAACTGACTCATAAATTCAACTACTAAATTGCTAAAATCTCCACAAAGCTCTCTTCTGATAATAACTGAAATTTATTAGTAACATTGAACAGAACAATCATAAATGTAACTGGTAGAAAAACTTTGTAGTACATTTTATTTAATAGATTAATTTGTCAGTTGGTTTTATATACTAAGCTGGTGATTATCAAATAAATTTTTATTTCTTCATTTACTATGTTCTCAGTGTTTTATAAGCAGCTTAAGTAAAATATGGTATCGGCTAGGTTCATCAAATTTTTAAATAAATATTAAGGGTGTATACATGGTAACAATAAAATTTTAAATACTAACCGTAATCCGTTCAGTACTTTGGTATTTTAAACTAAGATACTGATACTCGTTAATATGCACAGCTTATTCAATAAATACAGAAACTGATTTACTGAAGTTATTGATCAAACTCAATGAAAATGTTCATGAAATTTATGGAACATTTGAAGCAATTTATAAAGATAACTCAATAACAGAAGCAACTCATTTTAAGTGAGACAGAAATTTAATTCAATGCGGTCAAGACTGGAAAAATTACGAGAAGCTACCATATTTTAACATTTCAAATTTTATTGTGTCAGCATCAAATATTATGAAAACTATCTGTTCGTACTGTTTTTATTTATTTAGTATGTATTCAAACCACCTGAGTGTATAAAGGCTAAAGGCTAAACTGCTCATAGAATTAATATAAAAAATCTCACATCTTTATCCGGATGATTTTGTGAAAGTCGTTAGAAGTATTCATTTAAAAGTAATTTTAATCATGGTGTGATATCAGTTGAAGATCCACTAAGAATCAACGAATACCATAAAGTGTTCTAACAAAATCCCATGCCCGTATCAAACAAATTGCAAATTGATTTAAGTTAGACTTGTACGCCATTTAGTCACAGCTCTGTTGTCCAGTTGTCAAGCGTTCTCTCGCAAGGTCGAAAGTCCTGTTTATAAGGACATGAATGCATACTACTGAAGAGTTTCATGATAAGACAAAACGGCTGTTCACTACTTCTAGATTCTTAATTATTGTCTGATTTAAATCAGTTTGTGATTTCAATAGAATTAGAATGTGTTGAAAATGAGCATTTACACGTTTTTTCATACAATTTTTCAAATCCTACATGTCAGACGATAAAGGACACTTTAGAGATTTGTTGTGAGCTACTTATAAGGTATATTCAACAAAATTATTCACAACTTTAATTTTAAACTCAATCATAGATTTTCCTTCTAAAATGATCAATTATTCATACATGACAATTTAGTTCCTACCGTTTCAAAGAAGTCAATATTTTAAACTGACTAAACTTTTCAGCTTATATATATAGCTTATGCAAAAGTAGAGAAATACAACAAACTTATAATGTATTCAGCATATATTATTCTTGTTTCATCTTAATTTGAAAATCTACAATAATTCTCACTGTCATGAACTTTGAGGAGAATGACTAACTGAACTGATGAAGTAAACTTAATAGAATTTTAAGATATGTTTCAATTTACCATCTAAATAGATTTTAAGTAACATCACTAACTGTAGAGTCTACAAACTAAACTGTATATCTCAAAAAACTAGTCAAGTATATCTGTAGATCTACTTTCACGTTTGACAATATTTATTAAGAATAATTTATTACTCATATCCATGAAATAGTCCACCAAAATGATATTCAACATCTAAAGCAGATTGTTATAAAAAGTAGTGTCATGATGATATAATGATTCTTATAGAATTCATCAACTTTAAATATTATATAACAAACTAGACACAGTCTCCCTATTAACATTATTGGCCTTAAACTATTTTCCATTAACAAAAATTCGCTAATGTCTGGAGAGTATAAACAACATTGACTCGTTAACGTGAAGAATTTGTTTTGATTTATTAGACTCATTGAAGCTACACGCTTGATTTACTTTTTTCTGTCAATCAAGATATATATATATATATATACATATATATATATAATCAGTTTAACAAACTAATCAAACGTAAACCTCTTCCTTTTCCTAAAAAATAACAACTCACCTTTCTTAGCTTCCCTTTTGTTGAATGTTAATAGTGAGATTAGGTTGTTTCTATCATATAAATTCAGATAACCCTAATATCATTTTATATTAAAATTAATGTTATTTTGAAAAATAGTTATTCAAAGTTGAATCAAGTAATGATGTCGTAGTAATGGGGAAATTCTGTTCTTTTGTTTATACATTAATATGTTAGACGTTTAAAATGAAAAGATTCTACAAGCTGAACATTCATAGGTTCATTTGGTTAGTTATATATATATATATATATATATATATATATATATATATATATATATATATATATATAACCACAACTGATTGATCACTGGGTGATGGTCAGTGTCATGTGTGTCAAGCCCTTATTTAGTGCAGATCGAATGCTATCGACCATGTTGCAATGTGGCCACCAGTCTAGGTGACTCGACGCTGCGTGCACTATATATTGAGATTAGATGGTGGTTGGAGGTAGTCGACAGGAAACTCTGGACCCGGGTTTCGTGCTACTTGGCAATCGTCATCAAGGTGTACCTGTAATCTTGAGGAAACTGGTGCCTCCTGGTGGATTCAATCCCGTCGTCGATAGCATTCGATCTGCACTAAATAAGGACTTGAAACACATGACATTGATCACCATCCAGTGATCGATCAATTGTGATTACATCTCAGTCCTACAGGAGGTCGGTCGCGGCCCGGATAGCTCAGTGGTAACGTCTCTGACTGTGAAGCTGCATGACACGGGATCGAATCCGCAAGGGAGCACCAGTTCTCTCAAGATTACAGGTACACCTTGATGACGAGTACCAAGTAACACGAAACCCGGGTCCAGGGTTTCCTGTTGACTACCTCCAACCACCATCTAATCTCAATATATGTAACAAATGATCTCAGAATTCTGTAGGAGTGAAGTATTTAAATACTGATGCTGTTCAAGGACCTTACTGAATATTTTTTACCACCGATATTTCATAATCTTAGGTTATATCTGTCCCTTTCTAAAAATGATAAGAAGAAAATCATGTGTCAAATATGAATAGATGTAAAAATTGAATGACCTAAGCACTGGTCCGTAAATAACGGAAATGTTTCTAACTAGTGGTTTACGTAATGAATAAAGGATAAGAATTATCTTACAGATCTAATCAAGTTCTTTAATATCTACTTTTTATTCATGATTTTAATAAATTTGACATTCGTCCAAATATGCAACTTGTTTAAAATTCCCACAGCATTTTATTTCATTTTCTTTTCTGAAGTATTTTATAAAGATGTTCTGTAAACCTATAAACACAAATCAAGTACTAAACTCTTTCCACCATTATAATGAATATACATAAGGATTTGAACAACATTGTTTTCAGTTAGTTATTCATCAATGTGATAACATAGATTGATATGACAACATAGGAAGTAGTTTTGAACTTGTAAAAAAACATATATTAAAATTGCTGTCAAAAAATCTAACATATTCAAGGGTGTGGTTTATGTTCATTTCTTCTATGTGATAATGGTAATAAATAAAATAATATATTTGTAATGACCAAATGAGTAGAAAAATTAAATTTTCTGAAGTTTTGTGACTCCGTATAAGCCACTTCTTCAAATAATAAATGACCAAATCATGTTGGATTAATCTTGATTTGATTGTTTATTCTCTGAAGAAGTGGCTGATGTGAAGTCACACAACTTCAGAACATCTAATTTTTTTACTCATTGGGTTATTATAAATATAATAATTTATTATTGCCGTTATCACATAGAAGAGATGACGATAAACGTCAAGTCAAACCTCGGTAATGATACTTGATAATGGCAATGTTTAGTCATTAAAAACAACATATTAGTTTAGCTGTTTCTACATTTATCAGAAATGTTGATTAATAAACAGTCTATTAAAATAAAACTGTTGGGCTCATCATTGTAAAATGTAATATTTACTACATTTTCTTCAGTCCTTATTTAAGCAATCAACATTTTAGCTAGAGTTGGTCATGTGACCTAGTGGTCATAAGGGTTTCATTTAAAAATGAATTTACATAAAAGCCATCATTTATGTTTTATGATTGTTATTACTAAATTATAACTGATAAATAACTACATATAGTATAAAAAAATAAACCAAATGGGACGTTAGAAATACAAAAATGATGAATGTTAGAAGAAACTTAAAAGAAACTTAATTCAACAAATTAGAAGTCCTTGTTTTGGGTGACCTAATTAAGTAGAGCTTAAGTAGTTATCTTTTTACCACCGAAATGAATAATAGTTTAAAAAAGAAAACAATTTCTGGAAAAAACGATATACTATAAACTAACCCTGAAAGTTCCACCTGCTCCATCATCCAATTCAAGTGTGTAACGATCAATGGGAATAGACGATGTGGGTTGCCACACAAGAGTAATAACATTACGTTCTGAAATGCATTCTTCTATAAGAAACGCTGGTGGAGCTGGAGCTAGAAAAAGAATAACAATATTTTGAAAAATAAGTGTTTGGACAGATATTATTTTGACATATTTTTCATTAAAGATTATGAATTGATAAACGATTCAGAATATTATTGATATTATGAACTAATCTAAACTAGATAACCGGTGGACACAAGGAGACAGTGTACAGTTTTCGCGGCCACAATAATGTACATCCATATTCTCGTCACTGGGGATCAAACTCAAGACCTTCGGTCTCTAGCACGGACGCTTTAATTCTAGACTACTGAGCCAGGACCCAGTAAACAAGAACTTTCGTCTAAATTTGAACGAATAGTTTCACAAAATTTGGGTGCCAAGTTAATATGAAACCTTTAAAGAGGAAGAATGCATTTGTAAAATCTCAGAGAAAGAATTTGAAGTAAATCCAATGTTTCGCCTGGCACTCTGGTCCAAGCTTTTGCTGAGATTTTACAAATACATTCTTCCTCTTAAACGTTCTACATTGATAATTTAGAATCCATTAATAGATAAAAAGCAGAGATACAGGCTCAGTGTAGAGAATTTGATTTCAGTTTTCCAAGTTTATGAGAGATTGTTCATAGATGTTTTGTCAGTAAATGAACCGTTTACTTTAACTTCACATTAAAGGTTGTACCTATAAAGATTGTGAATTTTATGGGGCTGGAAGCAAATAATATAATTAGTTTCCATTAGATTTTGTACTAGTTAGTAAATTTCATCATAGTATATCCTAATTTTTGGATTTACCGATACCCTAGGTAGGATTTAAACTCACACTAACTAATTTTTGAGTAGTAAACATCAATCTGAAAAAGCGAAGTATACCATGTTACATATGAGGTAGTTTGGCATATGAAACTCGAGTCGACATTTTTTCTAAGGAGCTTAAATTTAAGCTTACAAATACTTTTATTGCTTTTTTATAAAAACTATCATTTTTCGATTTATATAATCCTTTTTCAACCCTCTATATAAAATAAAAATTATGTGTTCTAGATATAGATCCGCCCCTGGTAATCAGTAATCTATTTTGATCTGGAGGAAAAGTGTAAAAAAGTCTTATTGATTTCATATAATTTTAACCCTGTCCCCTTTCTAATAATTACTCCATATTAAATTACATTCACTAGTTTTCAAACATAAATGAGTTAATTTGTATACATTGAAATATCTTGTTAAAAAAAGTAATTCTCAAATACATGACATTTTTGTATTCAGATCGATTCCTTTTTGTCATTAAACAAACAAAAATTTAATTCACTTGGTGCTGTTTCACTTTTATCTTCCCATTATGAATTACGACTGCAATTGATCAGTCTCATGTTGGCATATGTGCATCCTGTGCTGATTATCTTGATATAGCCTTAAGTTACAAGCTTTTTAAGCAAATATGGATAGTGGCTAGTAATGAAATCCAGGCCGCGAGTTTAGTACTATTTGGGACCCGTCATCTGGATACAAGTAAAACAACACCAAGTGAATTTAAATATCAGCACATTGCACAAGCAGGTGGCTATCAGGACTCAGTAGCTAAGTAAATAACGTGATGGCGTTTGAAGTGAACGGTACTGGGTTCGAGTCTCAAAGTGAGCATCAACTCTGAGATACATGTACATCCAGATGACGAGTCCTAAACAGGACGAAACTCGCGTTCAAGATTTCACTGTTAGCCACTACCCATCTTTGCTTAAAATAAATAAAAAAATTTGATTAATTTATAACCACTCAATAATCTTAATCACTTAAATCATTACTTGATTTAACCACCCACTATTGATAAAAATATGGTATTATAATATTGTATATATATATATATATATATATATATATATATATATATATATATATATATATATAAGGAAATCTTGTCAACTAGGAAATTGAACTTAATTACATTGTATGAATGTTATTGAAATTAAAAACCCTAAGTCAGATTAGATCAAGTTTTCGTGAAATCATGATTAGGAAATTTATATAATGTTTCAAAATTTACCTTATTTATTTAGCTAAGTATGTATATACAAAAATCACTTCATTCACTATAATCTGACGAAACAGAATACAATGAAAATCAATGAGATTTGAGAATCATTTTTGTGATAATTTAACAGGACTGAATTCTAAATTCACTTGATATTGTTTACTTGAATCTTCTGATTGACGTTTAGGACTGTGATTGACTAGCCACTTATTGACTTATGTGCATACTGTGCGTATTTCCTCGATATTGCCTTAATTCATAATCATTATAAGTAAATAGGATGAAATGCGCGTCCTGGATTCCACTGCTAGCCACTATCCAACTTTGCTTATAACTCAATTCTGTCTTTACTAATCAAACCTATGCATTTACATCTTTAGAGTAATCACAGTAAGCAGGAGAGTGTATAAATAGTTAATAGAAAATAATTCATAATCAATTTGAGTAAGTTTAGCTAGTAAAGGAATCAATCTTTCATTTATTAAGCGAGTATTAACTTACTTGATGTCATTTTTGGCATCCCTTAATGATGAATTGTTCCTTCTCACATTTACTGACTCATAATAATGCTTACCATATTCTTAAAAATTTTCTAATAATAAATACAGACATCTACAAGGCTTGCAACAAAGAAATAATTCACAATTTGACTCCTGATGAATCAAATCTAACTCAAATTATTACAACTTGATGAAATTACACAGTAATTATTTATATGATATTAAAACGGAAAAAAATAGTTTTATTTTCATGTCTCTTATTATAATTTATACAAGTGATAAATAAGACAACTGATGAAACCACTCTATATAATCTTAACTGCTTAAATTAAATAAAAATTAGAATCTTATTCATAAAATAAGAGGATTAAGTAGATAATTACAAACATAGAATACTAGATCATCCAAATCACTCTATTTTTTCATATAAAATTTATCATACTACTCAAAAAAAGTTTTACTCTGTTATTATTATTAACATTATCTTTGTAGGTGGTGGTACTGACAACTGAAACGAGTAAATGATTACAACGTCGATCAATATCTCAAAAGCGTTACTGACAAGCCAAATACAAAAATTGTGTATACAACGAACACAGCTTCAAAACTCAGAACTATATATACATATATATATATATATATATATATATATATATATATATATATATCAAAGATAATTACATAAAACATACCATCGTTAATTTTTTGATTGATAAGTTGGAAATATTCAGTTCTTTTTGTATCTAGAAACAAGAACAAAAAATAAATAAATAAGGGGGACAACATCAATCAAATATGAGAAAAATTTAGTTTTATTACGAAAACATTTCACGTGTTTGTGTGTATTTTATGGTGAGTATAACATATACTTGGTATAGTTTCTATTTTAATGAGATATGAATTGATTTGTCCACTGTTTTATATCTAGATAAAGGACTAACTGAAGACAACAACAAAAATTCTGTTTCTTTTTTTCTCTCGCTCTCTCCCTTCCTCTTCTTTATTTTCTTATAATTCGTATGTTCAATTGTTTTTGATGAGTAGAATGAATATTCTTTTCAATATGTTCAATAAATTACATATGAATTTGTTATTTTTATGTTGTTTAAAATAAAAAACAATGCTGGATTAATTCAGATAATCCAACTTCAATTTTCTCAAATATAAACTACTTACCATTGTATATGTTTTGTCTTTTATCGTATAATTTTGAAAGTTGAGATCATTTGTCGACTGAAGTTAGACCACTATAGAAAACATGGAAGCAGTGGACGGCCGTTTCGTCCCGGTATAGAACTCATCAGTCGTAGATACTCACGATCCCGCCCTTCCCGAGATTCGAACACAGAACATGTCGGTCTCATGCGCGAACGCTTAACCTACAGACCACTGAGCCGAACGGCATCCAACAGTCACAATGTCTAACTTCAGCCAATTCACGAAATCGAAGGACACATCCACCATTGTCTTCAATGAGTTACTATCTCACAACAGACCCAGTTGAACTCCAGTGTTCATTGTTTCTCACTAGAACTTCATGAAATACCTCTTGAAGCCAGTCACTAGTGAACATATGTTGATTGACATGAAAGGGGTTTTTATAGATATTATAGTTCTTTCAGGTTTTCCATGATGGTCTACTTAAAATCGATTCATTATCTAAACTATTAAAATTACTATAATATCCACAAAACCCCTTCTTTTATTGTATAGTTTGAAATTATTTATTTCGTGAAATGATATTAATATATGAAACGTTGTTGATTAGCAAACCTGATTAAAATTACATAATTATCAGCACAAAATATGCAAAATCTCAATACTATTTTGAATATTTCTAAAATACGTACGTATTGAACTTTGAACAAAGATTAGTTATTATTCATATTCATTTGTTTACTTTTAAATTCAGTTTTGCTCTTATGACGCATTTTTTTATCACTAAATATATTCGGTGTATTGGTTTTATGACAATCTCTCATTGTTATTTCATATAACAGGGAGAAGAACGACATTTGACCCACTGTAATGGTACTTCTACGTTTTTTAAGTAATTAAATTTATAATAGATTGGAGACATTTTCTATGAGCTCACAAATAGACTGAACTGACTGACATAATAACCGAATTAAAACATGTTTTAATTGAGCGAATTGATAACAACAAATGCCAGTTTGGAAAAATGGTACCTATTAGTTCTAGAGAGCCACCGTGTATTTGGGTTAAGACTATCTATACTTAAGAATAATTTCAATATACATATAAACGTAGTAGTAAATTAGTCCAACTTGATTATCCGTTTTCAGAAAATCATCATATCATTCCATTGAATGGTCACAACTGGTCTAAATAGACTAGTTGAGAGCGAAGAGAGTGTTATCAAATGAAGGTCACTACAATTAGCAACAAGGTTAAAGCTAAAAAAACACTACTTAGTGGAATAAAACCAAGGTCCAATATTGACTCATTCTTACTATGAGATTTAAAGGTGTCGAATTCTACTTTAGATTGAATAGTCTTTTTAAATATACTAATACTTCTAAACTAAAACGGTGTCATATGCTTGGGAATTTGTTAAGAAATCTCCAGTATTTTTTAAATAACCTAAATTAAATATGTACTGTGTTAAAATGATGCCACATATATTATATGCATTTTGATGAATTTTGAAATCGCGAGTCGATCTAAGCTAGATCATCATTGAAAACTTGAAAGTACTGGACAGCCATTTAATCGAAGTATGGGACTGCTGAAAATTGCACATCCATGATCTTGCACGTAAAAAACCAAACTCAGGGCCTCGAATCTTAAAAGCAAATGCCTAACCTTTCGACATTTTGGCCGTCATCCATCGGTAACGATGTTTAGCTTCAATCCATCCATTATCTTGTTCAACCCTTGATCCATCATCTGCGATGGATAACTATCTCGTTTGCAAAAATACTACAATTCTCACGAATTCTCTATATAGAATCTCAAATCACATAACATATTTATTTGTCACTTCAGACAATAAAACCCTAAAGGATCAGAAACATTTGAGAGCTCACTATTTGAAAATAAATTCTAGACGAAAAATTCATAGATTTTAAAGGTTTGGTACCAAACTATTAAAAGTAGTTATGAAATTGTACATGCATACATACATATATACATACATCATATTTACACTGATTGATCATAATACCTTTAGGATTTGTAATCTTTGTGATCTACTATCATGATTAAAGATAACACAAATGAAATATCATGTCTCTCTAGAATATATCTTATTTCTAATCCAGGAAAAGAAAATATAAAGAATTATATTAATTGTTATTGATTTTATGTAATGCAGATAGTTCAGATCAAACTAAAAACACCCTAAACTTTAAACGTAAGAAATCTTGTGTGTACAGTAAACAGAATGTTCTTTTTGAAGAAGAAGAATTTACAGCTGGATATGATAAAACAGGTATATTGTAATAAGTTTCTATACTAACTCATCTTAATATACTACTTGTATTTTCCATTATTCAGTTAAAACTTCATCATATATTTAAAGTTATTAAATAAAAATCAAATGCATTTTGATCCTCTATGTGACTTTTAAAACTTGTTATAATTATTTGTAACTTGATGAATGAGTATTTAGTGTAGTTAGTTGTAATAACTTTATCCACCTTATAAAATGAATAGTCAGTAAAGTGTGTTATAGTTTGTTTTACTGATATAAAAATTTAATCAGAATGGGGTTTGTAGAAGTTGTAATAAATTATTAATTGAATTCGAGTCATTTGAAGCTAGACCACCATGAAAAACTTGGAAGCACTGGACTGATAGGTTTTGAGTTCGAATCTCGCGGGGCCACGTGGTGGATGTATACTGTTAAGGAGTCGCTTACTAGGATGAAACGGCCGTTCAGTGCTTCCAGATTTTCTATGGCGGTCTAGCTTCAATTGACTCATGAATTCAATTATTTAATAAAACGTTAATAAAATATCGTTTGTTTCAAAAAGTTTACAATATTCATATTTGCTAATAAAGAAATAGTATGATACAGCAATACTCATTTATACAGTTTCAAATTTCTCTGAAAACATCTTTAATATTTAACATTGTCAATATAACTTGCAAACGCACACAAAAACTAGGTTCACAGCATTTTGCCTGATTGCCAATAAATCACATTTGTTTAAGCATAGGTCACCTAAAAGTCGTTTCATGTGGTATAATGGTTGCAATTCACCTTGATTCACTGAATCAAACCATTATTAAGAAATAAACAATTTATCATTGGTTACCAATCATTGAACAATCAATATATGTGAAATTTACATAACTGAAATAATCACATTAAACATACAAGTAATATCTTTCTGAGGCTTAGATACATTATAACAAATATCAAAGGAGCTTCATTTTAAAATTATTAAGCCAGTCCCTTATATCATTACTCGCATATGTATAGACAAAATATTGAATATTGCCCATTGAAATGAATATATACATCATATTATATTATCAGTACATGAACTAATAAACAAAAGATAAACTGGGCGTGGTTTAAAAACTTTATAACAATACTGTAATATTGATTGTTTCATATAGCACTAATAATATCTTAGGGATACTTAAATGTAGTTAGAATTTCGCTCAAGGAAATAATACTATATTTTGAAATTTACATGAGTTTAATTTTGAATTTCAATACTAGTAGAAATCGTAAAAATGATAATATCAGCAACAATAAAGATCAGAATATTGGCTTGTATTATTCTCAAGTTGCTAAGCAACTTTTCTGGCAACCACTACTGTCCTTACTTATTTGTACAATTTCCCCTTCTTAGTATCAAGGTATAGCCGTATAAATATATATATATAAATTGGAATAAATTAGAAATTAATTATTGTCTCCATTGTTCTGAGACAGGGTTTCACTGTTTTGATTCCCATCTGCCTAAAAAAAATTACAATATAGTAAGCCACTATGTAGTTAAATATGATCACTGGAAAATGAGTTAGTGTGAAGTTACATGTTATTCTTTAGACAGTATGCACCATTTTTAGGTAATGAATTATATCGATGACAGTTTTGAAAACATTACTTGACACTGATTATGCGAACGAATCCTATTTTTCATTTCACATGAATAGAGCAGAGAGACAAGTTGTTTTAAGAGTCATTCAATGAAATTACCTTATTTAGATTTTCAGTTATGATAACTGTTTAAGATAATTTATGTTTGCCGTATTATGAACAGTATTTTCAAGCCATTATGATTCAGTGTTTTTACCTTTAATGGTTTACATCGGGGATTAACATCAGTTAGATAACCATTAAAACCCAAGATGTACTAAAATGGTTTTTGTCCTAACGTGAAACCCCATAACAGCTTTAATTATAATTTATTTGTCTGAACTGTTTACAAGTCTCAAATAATGGTTTAAGAAAATCATAGACTGAATAAACTCACAAACAAAGATCATTTATTGTTTAGTTGTTTACTAAGTAACCAGAAGATTTCTAAAGTCTATGTAATCAATATCTTGAGTGTTCATTGTTGCTAAATGACTCTTTATTGATATGAAACAGAGTTGACTTATAGTTACTGGATTAATTAATTAATGCTCAAATTTACACTTATTTAACGTTCATTTTATTCGAAAAATATAGTTTTATTCATTATATCTTATATTTAATGAAATTAAATGAGTTCCTGTTATGCTACTTAAATCATTATTACTGATATTTTACAACAAC